GAGTAAATGGGAGGACAAATTAAGAGAACAAGAGAAAATGAGCAATCATACAACTGGAGATGGAAAACTATCAAAAAATAATTCTACATTATCATCACCTTCACACCTGGGAGAGGTGAACCACTCGCAACTTGAGTGTCTTTAACATCCTGTTTCAGCAAAAGCCTGATGAGTAAGGTGGTAGAATTCACAAAGGAGAAGAATAAGAAGAAGATCAAGATATATCCCAGTTTACACATGCTGAAGAGGTTTCAATGTCTAACTACAAGAAGAAAACTGTAATCGAATGTTGATTGACTAATGACCCGTGGTTAAAATCTTCAGCATATTGCAGCTTTGATTCCTCCTCTCCCTTTGTTTTAACAGTTGTTACTGAATCTTTGATTATTCAATTACCTAGCAAGTAAATATAAAAATAACCCTTCCTCCCCTGATTGGAAATCCCTGCAACTCCCAAAAGAAGGATATAAAAGAAAAAAATAAATCCAAACGCAGCATAAAAATTTGTACTAAAACTTGAAAGAGGGTGTCCCTAAAAACCATCATCTGAATAAGCAGTGGTACACTTCCGTAGTTTTAACAACAAAGAACACTGAATAGAGACGTATCCAGACAGTTGGATTATTTTATCCTAGACGAAAGTAAAACTAAAATACCTCAACTTTGGGTTGGTCAACATTAGTTACAGCATCATTGTCATTTACAGGGCTTTCAGACTGAAGTCTACCCGAGTCTGGTGATTCATCATTGGCCTAGCAAAAATTGCTACACATTAGAAACAAGAAAGAATAAGATAATATCAAATTCACAGTGTACTCCATAATCGAACATATCCGGAAGCCGAACATCAAAATGAAAACTAAACATCAATATCAATTGATCACCAACCACGGGCTGAGAAGAACCCTGCTCGGAGTTATCTGCTGAAACCAAATCACTCGCCGGCAATTCATCATTTTCATCGGGTAATTTTCGTTCCTTTTCAAATAAAACAAAATCCAACCAAATGAAGACCTCTAGTCAGTAACTATAAGCATGTAATAGAACAAAATGACTTCACGATAACAACAGATA